CGTAATTATTTACTTAAACTAACCGAAACACCCTGTATGATATAAATACGTCTTTATAATATTTATTCGTCCTTACAAGTTAATCGTTTGTTTCCACTTTGCACTAATAATCACAAATAAGACCTAACTTCGCACAACACGACGAATGGTGGCAAACAAAATTATAAATCCCCACTTTTTTTTAATTCATTTTGGACAGGACATTTTTTAATGTAGCCGTCAAACGGTTCCGAAAAGCTAACTTATATATATGAAAAATCTGACTTAAATATTTTCTAAAAAGACTTAAATCTTTTTCAAAAAGACTTAAATCTTTTTTTGACTTAAATTGTTTCTATCTGACTTAAATCGTATGTACTGATTTAAGCCTTTTATTAATGACTTAAGTTTTTTCTGTTTTGAAAAAAATATTTAAGTCACAAATCATTTTGAAAATTACTTAAATTTTAAGTCTTAAGTCAGTTTTAGAGAAATGTCTTATTACCAAATGACTTAAGTCATTAAAACGATTTAAATAAAAAAAAACGATTTAAGTTTTCTGAGAGCTTGCAGCTCTGTTTGAATTTTCTCCTTTCTGCATATGATTTTGTTGAAAATAGTTCCTTTCTTTGGTTCCTTTGTCTGATTTTTATTTACCGTAACAACTCAGGTATGTAAAGCACAGATGATATGATGTTAAGTATATTTATGTATTATATAAAGTACCTATATTTGTATTAAAAATTTCAGAGGTTATGTTGAAAAAATGATCGATATGCTATTAAACTTTAATAATTTAGTAATTAGGTCTGTTGGTAGACCCTGCACTATCTCCACTGGTATATGTTAGTTTTGTAATATTTAAATCTGGTTGATGAAAAAGTACACACCAGTGCAGGCCCATTGGCAATTATTCCTTTAGGAAAAATATTCAACACAGCTTAATTAATTAATAAAATGAAAAAAATCACAATCATGTCGTATATGGTTTTTTTTAAGCATAAAATAATTTTTATATTAATACTAGTTCAAAAGTAAAATTACGACCTCTATACTGTGGAGAGTATTGAAACGCTCGACTGACGAATACAACTCTATACCGTAGGGAGATTTAGAAAACGATATTCAAACGTGGCGTCATCCTATACACCTCTATAATTTTCCGTTTGCTGTGCAGACAAGTTTTGCAATACACTCTAGGATAAATGATTATAGCAAAGAAATATCGTGTTTAGTCTTAAATAAAGTAACAACACCTATTCCGTTGTTTTCATTTAGTACAAAGCTAGTTAAAATACCCAAGGGCATACCGTTGGCAGATCCTTATTATAATAAATCGGGAAACATAGACATTTTATTAGGAGTCGAGGCTTTTTATAACATTTTGTTAATGGAACAAATTAAGGCGGCGAACTAACATATTCCAGCTATAATTTTGACTCGTTTTCGTAAACACAAGTACGTGCTTAATGCCGATGTTTCGAAGATGTATCGTCAGATTCTTATACACCCAGATCATATATGATATGCTCTATAGACCATATCAGCGTATACTTTGGCGTTCAGACATTGGTGATGTCCAATGTTTTGAACTAAATACAGTAGTTTATGGCATGGCGTCAAGTCCATTTTTGGCAGTGCGATGCTTACAGCAAATTGCTGATGAGCACGCAGTTAACTGCCCAGTAGCGGCGCGTATTATTAATACAGAATTTTACATGGACGATCTTTTGACCGGTAGTAATGACGAAACTGAGTTAATTACAATACAACGCGAAATTACGGGAATCTTGGCTAGTGCAGGTTTTGATTTACGCAAGTGGCTGTCAAACAAAAGAGATTTTTCTCAAAGTTTTCAAATAAACCAAGACTTAAAGGCAAGTATTTTGCAGCTAGGTGAAAGTGAGCAAAATAAAACGTTAGGCGTTTACTGGAATGCTTATATGATAGTACCTAGTACAGGATTAGAGAGTTTACTGAACAATCTTCCGTTACAAAACGCAAAATTTTATCGATATCAAGTCAAATATTTTATCCTTTAGGGCTAGTTTAACCGGTTATTGTTGTTGCAAAGTTAATTATTCAAAGTCTTTGGAAAGAAAAATCTGACTGGGACTGTGAAGTTTTAAATATTTTACGTGACAAATGGAATAATTTTTGTTTAGATATAAAACATTTAAATGACTTACAGATTTTAAGAAATATTTTTTTGGATAATTATAAATGCGTTGAATTACATGCATTTGCCGATGCTTCCGAAAAGGCATACGGTGCGGCTATTTATGTGCATTGCATTAATTTCAATGACACTTATTCTTCCCATTTGTTGTGTGTAAAGGGCAAAGTAGCTCCGACCAATACACCGACACTACCAAGACTTGAACTTAGCGCGGCGCTGATAGCAGCAAGATTAGTTAAAAGAGTTTTAGACTCGATCAATGTAAATTTTGATAATATTTATTATTGGAGTGATTCCACCATAACTTTATGTTGGATAAAGGGTACGGCAGATAGATGGAAACCTTTCGTAAAAAATAGAGTTATAGAAATACAAACTTTGACAAATCCAGACAATTGGTTTCATGTTGGCACGGAGCACAATCCGGCAGATATTGTGTCTCGTGGAAGCACTGCCTTAAAATTACTTTCAAGTCAGTTATGGTTTGAAGGTCCGTCATGGCTTGAATCTGATGTATTACCTTTTCAGACTATTGACGAAAATAATGTGACAATGTTGCCAGAGCAAAGATTGGTGTCCAATATTGCAACTATTAATTTTATTAACCAAATCCAAGAATTTAATTTATTTGCTAAATATTCAATATTAACAAAGTTGCAAAGTCACGGGTTATATTTACCGGTTTGTTAATAATTGTAGAGCTAAAAAACTTCTAAGAAATAAAATTTCTGGTAAAGAATTAACAGTACAAGAATTAGACTTTAGCTTACAAAATTTAATAAGAATTTCCCAAATTCAATCATTTAAGCAGACTTATTTTGACCTGTTAGACAGAAAACCTATAAGTAAATCTAGTAATATTATTTCGCTGAATCCGTTTGTGGATCAATTTAATTTATTGAGAGTTGGGGGTAGAATCTAATATGCAGACATTGATTATGGTCAGAAATTTCCTATTATTTTGCATAATAAACATGGCCTTACCAAGTTAATATTTGAATATTACCATAAAATTTCCTTGCATTGTGGACCTCAACAACTTTTATACAATGTTAGACAAAAATATTGGGCAATTTTGGGACGAAGTATTGCACGATCGGTTGTGCACAAGTGTGTTACTTGCTTTAAGGTGAAGCCAAAACCATTGGACTATTTAATGGGTAACTTACCTGGGGTGCGATTCTTGTATGTATACGAGCATAATTCGTATACGAAATGTGGCCATTTCCGAATACTTTTTGGTTATCATTATTCTAGACGCAATTCGTATGTGTTGTTGACAGTGATTTTTAAATTGTGTCATAATAAATATTAAAAATGGCATTGAATGAGTTGGTGCAGTTAGCGGGCGTTGGGGCGTTGGAGGACGTTGAGGAAGCTGCATACGTTCCTTGGCGAAGGAGGTTCCATGCAAGAGATGATCCCCTCAATGACCTTAGTGACAGGGAGTTCGTTAGGACCTACCGCTTGACTAAGGACTTGGCATCGGATTTAGTGGATTTATTAGGGCCTTTTATGACTTCTCCAAGTCGCTTATCAGATTTAGATATAGAAACCAAGATACTTGTGGCATTACGTTTTTTTGCTTGTGGAAGTTACCAGCTGGATGTCGGTAGTAATGTTAATCATGCCGTAAGCCAGTCGTCAGTAAGCCGAAGTATTGGAGAAGTCTGTAGTGCCTTAAATGAACCAAATATATTTAATCAGTTTGTTAGAATGCCTCGGAATAATGAAGAGTTTGTGAGAAGTTGCAGAAAGTAAGTAAAAACTGTATAACTTTTCTACGCCTTCGCAAGTAATAATATTTACTGAAACGTGTTTCAGTTTTTATGCGAAATATGAATTTCCTGGAGTGATAGGCTGTTTGGATTGCACACATGTGGCGATATATCCGCCGCAAATCAATGATGCCGTGTATCCCGAAGTCGTGTATGTAAACCGGAAACAGTATCATTCTATCAATGTTCAATTGGTAAGTAAAGACATTACACAACACGTGAGTTCTACAATGTAATACATACTATGTTTTAGATTTGCGACTCCAATATGCGTATTTCTAATGTGTGTGCAAGGTATCCAGGCAGTACACATGACAGCTTCATTTGGAACAATAGCGCCGTGTTACCCTATATGCAAAACTTGTATCGCAATGGACGTCGTTTTGCTTTGCTAGGTATGTATGGTTTTGGTGTGATGCGAAAAGATTAGTAAACGGCTTTTTAGCGGACTCTGGTTATGGCCTAAGATCATGGTTGTTAATACCCGTTCAAGGTGCTGCCCCAAACTCACCGGAGGCCCGCTATGACCGCCAGATGAGTACACGGTCACTGATTGAGCGGTGTAATGGCGTTTTGAAGTTGCGGTTTCGCTGTTTACTCAAACACCGCGTGTTACATTATAAGCCTGACAAATGTTCTCGAATAATAAATGGCTGTGCTGTACTTCATAACTTATGCGTTGACAATAACCTACCACCAGAGGAAGATGATGATGATGATTTGGCAGAGATTGATTTTGGAATGTACCCCCCGGACGACAATGAGCCACATGATCTAGCGATTGGGCGACCTCGCGTGAATCAGGACCTAGCTGCAGGCAGAATGTTTCGGGCTAGAATAATTCAAAATCATTTTGCAGGATTGTAATGCTATACTTCGAAAAAAAAACATTTCTAAAGAAAATTTACTTTTATTTATAATTATTAACGAAAACGACACTAGATAATAAATCTTTTAAGTAACAGAAAATAAACTCTAAACATAACACGTAATTAATAAGTACATAACAAATAAATAAATTCTCTGCTTAAGCTATTCTGTGATTGAATACAACATACAACACATCACTCCCGTGCTAAATTCTTCGCTATGGATTGTAGCGCCGCTGCCATTTGTTTGGTTGCTTCAACTTCTTCTTCATATAACTTAATTTTCCTGTCATAGTAAGCTTGCTTTAACGCGATTTTTCTCTCGGTTTGGTTGGCCGCATTTTTGGGTGTTTTTTCTTTACTTGTCATGTTCTCATTAATGTTATGTATTTCAAGAAGAACCGGATGGTTTGAGTTTTCCCAGAGATTTTCCCCAATTGACTGCACGACATATATGTCTTGCACAACGTTTTTATCTTCGACAACTTCGTTCATTAAATAATCATCCTCCTCAAATGTAGCTGCAGACTCCTTAATGTTGGGGTGCCCGTCAACAGAAGTAGGGCCAATGATTTCAAGAATTTTTTCGTCGTCATCGTTCAATTTGGTTTTAATAGGGGGCCCACCTCCCGTTCCTTTTTGATGCCGCTTAATCTTGCTGCTCTTTGCTTTTGAAGTAGTCTTTATATCATGCCACGACTGAAAATATTTAGCTGCTATAAATGAGCACTAGAATAAGAACAAACAAACTTTTATTCACCTTACGCCACTTGTCCCACTCCTTAAAAGCCCCAGGTAAAGCATTCAACTGTGCCGTTACTATTTGCCACAACTTTCTTCCTTCTTCGTAAGTGAACTCTTTAGTGTATTTTCCATGTTTTAATTGAGGATATTTGAAAATAAACTCAATCAAGATCTTCTTTTGTTGCGCGGACATATTACCGCCTCGTTTTAATATATTCTCCATTTATATAATTATTTTTTAACACTTAAACCTAATTTAGGTTAACCTTTGACAGTTTATAATTATAAACTGTCAAAACAACAAATAATAAAAATATTAACAATTAATAAAAATATTCTGGTACCTATAATTGATTTTTCGTTGCTTTATGTTGGGAACATTACTTTTTTGGGCTGTTGCCAGTTGAACCGTACGACCAATTTACGATCGATCGAATCTGCGTTTAGAATACAACTGAAGAATACACGCCAGTGTACGTATACGCTTTTTTCTATACGAGTGCCTTCGTATACGAGTGAAAATCGTACAAGTTCAAGAATCGAATCCCTGACTATAAAGTAAATCAATTTAGTCCTTTTGTTAATACTGGTTGCGACTATGCAGGACCTTTTTTACTTAAGGGCCGCAAGACTCGAAATCCAAAACTGATCGAGGCCTATGTATGTAAAGGGTTTTCCATTTTGAGTGTCATAACTTTAACCCTAAAAATAAGGCTGCTCTGGCATGTAAATGTCAAATCTTGACAACACATGTGTTCAGTACATTGTGTCAAATTAATATGGACAGATAACAATTTAACAGCGCTTAGAAATAATTCGTATTTACCATCAAAATGCATGTTCGGTTTGCCAAACATTTTGCAAGTTGCGAGAAATATAAGGTTTATCGTTTAAGAGAAAACTGGTTTACTGGCAAATAAGTCAACTTTTGTGCATCTAAAGGATCATGTGAAATCTCAGGTTTACAAAAATAAGCCACGAACAATTCTCGACCTTAAACGAAACATTAAACGCACTATTCAAAGTATACCAAGCGATATTTGTAAAAGAATAGTAGAAATTAGGCCTTCATAATGCATTCAGTCAGGCAAAGTCGAGGGGGACATTTAAACGACATTTAAACGATATATATATTTTTACGAACACCTCCTTTTGTGTATTGTACTTTATATTGTTATATTGTATTTTTTGCACAATAAATGTATTATTATTATTATTATTATTATTATTATTATTATTATATTTAAAACATAATGTCATCGATCGTTCTTCAAAATAAAATATAGATTACGGGATTATAACATGTAGTTATTTTTTTTATCTCATTTAAAAGTTCTGACGCTCTAAATGAAAAACCCTTTATTTTTATTTGTATGACCGTAAAAGCTGTACACCTTGAACTTTAACAAGTGAAGCTTTTTTAGCTACGTTTAGAAGGTTTATTGCTAGACGGGGTAAACCTAATGATTTTTATTTTGACAATAGCTGGCCATACACAGGCGTTATTTCGCGCGGTTTATCGTGGCGTGTTGGGATGTAGTGGTTAGTATGCACGAAAGAACGGCATGGCAAAAAAAGCGTCATGTTCCATACACTTGATAAAGTATTCAAATGATTTAGCAAGTGATTGCCCGTGGTATATCAGTTTCAAAGGAAAAATCGTATGTGAGTGGGCAAAAAGTGTCATTTATCGAGTTGTTTGAAACTGCATGTGCTCATGTACAAATTTTCAACGTGAAATTTTGCCAAGCAAAGGTAAACCGTGACGCGGAATGTGGCGTGTGGACACTCCACACTCCAGATGAGAGCACGTCTGAAATCCCTTCCCGTTCTATCATTGCGCGCGGCGATACTCACTCACGTACATGATTTTCCATATGTTTTTGCAGATAACACGATAAACCGCGCGCAATAACGTCTGTGTATGGCCAGCTAATGGCACTACGTTTGTCGGAGCTAATTCAGAGATTTTAAAATTTTTAAGGACAAGGTCTCCAGAAATTGCGTCTAAGTTTGCATCAGAAGGTGTAAAGGTTTACTTTATTCCACCCAGAGCTCCTAATTTTGGCGGACTTTGGGATAGTGGTGTTAAACGTTGTTAGAGTCATTTAAAAAAAATAATTGGTAATAATAATTTGCATTATGAAGACTTTATGACAGTTTTGACACAGATTGAAGGAATACTAAATTCCAGACCTCTTTCTCCAATGTTTCGCCAATGCAACCGACTATGTTCCTCTAAGTCCAGGCCATTTCCTTATTGGTCGACCTTTAAATTCTACTTCCGAACCCGGTTTGACTCACTTACCAGAAAATCGGCTGACACATTTTAAGAAATTGCAACAAATTATGCAGCATTTTTGGCAGAGGTGGTCCAAGGAGTACCTGACAGAGTTACAATCAAGACAGAAGTGGTTTCAAGATGGCTGGACGAAGCTGAAAATTGGTGATCAAGATCACCAATACAAGTATTGGTCAAATAAGACAATCTTCCTCCATTAAAATGGAAGACTGCTAGAGTTACAGAACTCTACAGGTGCAGATAACGTAACCAGAGTTGCTGGTATAAAGTTTGGTGATGGTGCAACTACAAAACGTAGTATTTCCAAACTGTGTTTACTTCCAATTGAAAGGACAATTGATTGACAATAGGTGCGAAACAAAAACATTTTTTTTAATTTCGAAATAGACATTTCAAGGCGGCCGGGATGTTGGATATTATATACGTTAGGTTAGATTCCCTTCAGGAACATATTAATAATTTTAAGAACGCTTTTAATAATCTTAGCAATTCAATTGTACATAATTCGAACTCTTTAAGTACGCTTAGTTTTAAAATAATTTTAATAGTTTACAGCCTTTAATGACGCATATCGAAGCGAAATTTTCAAATAATAAATATTATCAAAATAATAGAAATAGAAGAGGACTTATAAACGGAATAGGTACCCTTAATAAATGGATTACAGGCTCTTTAGATGCTAATGACGGCAAAATCAAAAGAAAATTCACAAATATCACTTTCCAAACAATTTTCAAATAAATATTCAGAAACAATAAAAATAATTGTGGAAAACCAGATAACAGATTTTATAAATAAATATAAAGTTACTTTAATAAAACAGTCAGATTCTTATAAAGACATATTATATTTAGGAGTTGTTAATTAATTGTTCATAAATATAAACTTAATATTAAACCTTTTAAATGAAATAGAAAATGCAATTACTTTTGCCCGTCTTGGTACAGCTCACCCTGATATACTTAAAATTAATGATTTAAAACACATTTTACAAGAACTTAAGGAACTTCATTCAGGTGAAGAACTGCTTGACCTAGATTTCTATGATTGGTATTCTATAATTAAAACTAACTAAAATTATTTTTCTCCATTAGATATAAACAAAAGTAATCATTACAATTTTACATTAAAGACCTTTTGAAGGACTGGAGAGTATTGCCAAAGAAATCTACATTTAAAGTATTTGCATTTCTGCACATCCTATGTAATGGTGCATAATAAAAATGATTTGTATATGTGTGGAAGTATGTGAGAATAGCACATACTTCCACACATATACAAATCATTTCTAACTGAGACTGTTTCAATTTCGTGGGGGTAAAGCAGGGGAAATGTTCTCACAGGGTAGCGGGCATTGAGGCGCATGCGTCAGCTGCATTGCCGGTTTAAAAAAAAATAACATATTTTTGTCCCTATTTAAGAAGTATAATAAATACTTTTTAATAAATTGGATATAAATTGTATGAAAAAAGCATTTAACAATAATAAACTCACAAAATGATGATATTTTAGATTTTATAATGGCATTTTTATAAAAGCAAGAATTTGGCAACATCGTATTTTGATCACGATTATCGTATCATAGCCAAAAGATTTTTATGATAGACATATAACACGGTGCTGTTCTGAGAGGTGATTTTTGGACTTTCTGTGAAACCTAATTTTTTTTTATATTCTTGTTAATTAGGTCATAACTAAAATTTTAAGAGCAAAATAAAAAAAATTTGACGGTTTGAATTGGCTGTTTATTAAAAATATTATGCACTCTTTCAATTATCCAATTAAAACTAGCGATTTAATTTAAATATTTAATATTTGCATGACTAAAAAAAAGGTTTTTACAATTTTTTTTATATATTTTACTGCTTTGTTGCAATAAACGTTCAAACTTTTAATCTAACCTTTGACGTATACGTTTATGTTCCTTTAATTAATATATCCTTAAAGGTTGCCATGAAACTTAGATCTATTAAAAATTTATTTGACGTCATTTTCAGTATACGTATTGTATAATTTTTGTTTAGTTTTTAAAGTGTTTTTTATAAAAAAAAAATGAAAAATTGTAGTAAAAGTTACGAAGAAATTTATGAAATTTAACCAAGGACCGGTTTATTCATCTTTAGTAAAGTTTATCGGGCCGATAACTTTCATGTCTTGGCACTATCTAGTATCCAAAGAAATTATTTGTCAAATAAATCAAAAATGAATAAATCGGCCCTAAATAAAATGTGGCACCCTTAGAAATATTGTTTAATAAATGTATACTATAAATTTAACCTTAAATTAAAACTTTAAACGTGTATTACAACAAAACAGTAAAAGATATAAAAAATGTATAGACCTTTTTTTAGGAAATTAACTAATCTTTAATCTGATTTAAAAATTTATGATAATATTTAAATAAAATCGTTTTAATTGGAGAATTGTGCATACATATTTTTAATAAACATACAATTAAAACAAAATTAACCGTCAAATTTTTTTTATTTTGCTCTTAAAATTTTAGTTATGACCTAATTAACAAGAATATAAAAAAAATTAGGTTTCACAGAAAGTCCAAAAATCACCTCTCAGAACAGCACCGTGATAAATATGTAGATGGTTATTATAATTGGGTCATTCTTACAATAGGGGAAATTTTATGTCCCTGACTTGCCATGCTCAGTCAAGTGCATCTTCACCATTTTTTATTTTATATTTATTTAGGGGTTTATTGACCCTATTCATACACCTATTAACTTAATAATAAAATAAAACCAATTCGATACATTTTCCCTTTAATTACATAAATTGTCATTAGCGTGGATGTCCCTGGATATCCTTTCACCAGAATATTTTTTTTTTGCAAATTAAGAAACTGTCCATAAATACTCTAGCAATAGTATATTATAGACAACACTTTTTAAGATATGTTAAGCGGG